TACATCAATATTTGCCTAACAAACTTGGAATATATTTCAAAAAAAAACCCAAACTAACTGCCATCGACTCAGATTGGACTCATAGCGACCCCTCCCTGGCTTGCTGAGGCTGTATCACTACGGAAGTAGATGGCCCAGCCTTCCTTCTGAGGAGTGGCTGGTGGGTTTGAACCGCCAGCCTTCTGGTTAGCCAGCACCTGTGCCACCAGAGCTCCCCCCTACAGAGGAGTAAACAAAGGCTCCATGCTCATAGGCATGAGGGGTGCAAAGCAACAGGTCAAGAGTCATCCAACCATAACCCTTCCTAACCATTTGTCTGCACTTTGTGGTTGTTGTTAGGGGTTGCTGAGTCAGTTGCAACTCGTAGTGACCCCACGCACAACAGTACGAAACGGTGGCCGGGCCTGCGCCATGCTCACCCCCGTTGCTGTCCGAACCCACCTGCAGCCACTGTGCCGTCCACCTCACTGGAGGGCTTCCTCTTTTTCGCCGACCAAGCATGATGTCCCCCGGGGACAGGTGCCTCCCAACAACATGTCCAAAGTAGGTGAGATGAAGTCTCACCCTCCTCACTTCCAAGGAGCATTTGGGGTGCTTCTTCACCTTACCCATTTTATTCGATAAACATCTTGGATCATTCTGAAAATTTTCTTTTTCCAAGAATCTTGAACAGATCATCTTTCCGGGAACTTTTGCACCAAACTTTTCGTAGCAGCCGTGCATCCAGTGCCTTCCTCTAACCTCAGACTAGCAAGCTGTGCTTCAGCCTAAGTTACAGACACACAGAAGTCACGCAATAAGCGGAAGTGGAGCCGAGGCCTTAGTGACTGAGTCCCGATGCAGTCTGACTTTGGCCTGGGCCAGGCTTTCTGGCTGTGCCAAGGTCCTCAGGTTTTGGGCTTCACTAACACAGTACGTAACTGTCTGCTCTCCCCAGGGACTCCTAGAATGAGCTCCCCCTTCCTGTGGCCTTGAACAAGATAGTGAACACGAACATATCACTCTGAATCTTAATGTCCCCTCTTACTGTAGGGTAGGGAGCTCTGGTGGACACTGGACACAGTGCTCACTAGGGGGGTGACCACATGATCTGGTTTGCCCGAGATTTTGCCCTGACATGATTATTAATAGTGTCACCTTTCACTCTCAGAAGTTTCTGGTTTGATAAGTTGCATTTATTAAAATATGAACTTCTGTTCATCAAAAACACCACTAAGAGAGTGAAGAGGCAAGCCACAGCGTGGGAGAAGACATTTTCAACAGACCTCTGTGACAAAGGACTCAAATCCAGAATGTATTGACAACTCCTACAGAGAATAAACAAGACTCAGTGATGAAACAGACAACAGACTTAAGCCAGCACTTCACAAAAGAAGATACCCAAATGGTCAAGGCACCAAACTCCATGATTCAACAGGGAAACGCAAGTGGAAAGCCCAATGACACGGCACTACACAACACCAAATGGCAAAACGCAAACACACGGACAACACCAAGCACTGGGGAGGATGTGGAACAACTGGAACTGTCATCCATTCCTGATGGGAATGTGAACTGGTGCCACCTTAGAAAACAGTCTGGCTGGACCTCTTAACGCGAAACACACACAAACCCCTGGCAACCGGCCTTCTAGGGATCTACTCAAGAGAGTCAGAGTGCATGCGTCCACAGAAAGATGCATATCAGGGCCCTCGGAGCAGCACAATGGAACAGCTCCATGTGGAGACAGTCCCGACGTCCGCCAACAGAGTAAGTCAGGAAGTCGCAATACAGGCCTTCACTGGTGTATAGTTAACCTATTGCCGCATAACAAACCACTTCCGTATTTAGCAACTTAAACCACACTGATTCCTTCGCCTGGTTTCACCAGTGACTCAGCTCAGGAGGTTGCAGTCAAGCTATCGGCTAGGATTGCAGTCATCTCCTGCTTTGTATGGATCTGTTTCCATGTGGCTTAATTCATGTGGTTCTAGGAAAGAGAGTGTTCCTCACAGCTGGCGGTAAAAGGCCTCAGCTCCTTGGCTTGTGGGCTTTTCCAGAAGGATCCTCACCACGAGGCAGTTGGATTCCCCCAGACCAAGTGGATCTGAGAGGAAGGGGTGCCATACTGCCTTTTATGACCAGATTTCCAAGACACGTGACCACTTCTGCCTTACTGTATTGACAATAAGAGAGTCACTAAGTCCAACACATCCTCGACAGGACAGAATACACAAGGGTGTGACTATCAAGAGGTGAAGATCTTTGGGGATCATCTTGAAGGTTGGCTGACAAAGTCTCCTCTCTGGCCACCAATGATTCGTGACCATCCAGCATGCAAACCACACTTGCTCCCACTCAGTTCCTCAAAGCTTCACCCTATTATAATGTCCACTCCTGATCTAGAATGTTGTCATCTCAATTCAGTCAGGTGTGGACGAAGCTCGCTGAGTGTCACTCCTCAACTCCACCTTCTGGAGACCATTCTTACCTGCAGATCCACGAAACTGAGCCAAGTCCTCTGCCCCCCCCCCCACATTCAGGAGACAGTGGTGGGGCAGGCACAGGGCAAACACTGTAGACACTCTGTTCGGAACAGGGGGTGGGGAGCACAAAGGAGGCACTTGGCCCATAGAAATTCTGAAACGGTCTAGGAATACTTCTCCATGGCTCTCAGCTCCACCCTCTGGACTCTTCGTCTCACCCTCTGAGCTACACTTTCTTTTTCATGAAAGGTAGCGTATGTTTTCATGTGCACAGTTTTCTCAGCCTGCTTCCTGCCTATAAAAGTTTGGGAGTGTGTGTTAGTCATAGGTTGCTGTTATTAGGTGCCATCGAGTCAGCTCCAACTCATAGCAACCTTAGGTACAACTGAACAAAACACTGTCTGGTCCTGCACCAGCCTCACAATCCTTGCTGTACTGAGCCCACTGTTGCAGCCACCATGTCAATCCACCTCACTGAGGGCCTTCCCCTTTTTCGTTGACCCTCCACCTTACCAAGCATGATCTCCTTCTCCAGGGAATGGTCCCTTCTGGCAACATGACCAAAGCAGGTGAGACGAAGGCTGGCCATTCTCACCTCCAAGGAGCATTCCAGCTGCGTTTCTTCCAGAACAGATTTGTTCGTTGCTCTGGCAGGCCACGGTACTTTCAGCATTCTTCACCAACACAACTCAAAAGCATCAACTCTCCTTTAGGCTTCCTTATTCATTGTCCAGCTCTCACATGCCTATGAGGTGATTGAAAATACCATGGCTCAGGTTAGGTGCACCTTAATCCTCAAAGAGACATTTTACTCTTCAGCACTTGAAAGAGGTCTTTTGCAGACTTACTCAGTGCAATACATTGTCTGATGTCTTGACTACTGCTTCCATTGGTACTGACTGTGGAACCAAGTGATATGAAATCTTTGACAACTTCAATCTTTTCTCCATTTATTGTGATGCTGCTTATTGGTCCAGTTGTGAGGATTTCTGTGTTCTTTCTGTTGAGATGTAATCCATACTGCAGACCAAAGTCTTTAATCTTTATCACTAAATGCTTCAAGTCATCCTCATTTTCACCAAGCATAGTTGTGTCATCTGAGTATCACAGGCTGTTAATGAGTCTTCCTCCAATCCTGATACCATGTTCTTCTTCATATAGTTCAGCTTCTGGATTATTTGCTCAACATACAGATTGAATAAGCATGATGAAAAGATACAACCCTGACACATTCTCTTCTTGATTTTAAACCATGTGGTATTGTTGTAATAGAAATACTGCAAGTGGATGGCTTTAACAAATTTATTTCCTCACAGTTTTAGGAGGTCAGAAGCCTGAGTTCAGAGAAGGTGTCCGTGTGTCTGAGCTTCTGCCTTTGGGTAATCTCCATGTGGCTTGGCATGTCTCTTCCCCCATCTCTCCTCTGCTCAATTATTTAATCTCTTTTGTATTTCAAAAGGGACTGACTGAAGACACACCGTACACCAATCCTGCCTCTTCAACATAACAAAGACAATCCATTCCCATTCTAACCACAGGCATAGAAGTTAGGTTTTACAACACATACTTTGAGGGAGGACACAATTCAATCCATAACTAAGTCCAAAGGACTCTTCATTTTGTACTGTCTCTGTCCCTTTCAGTCCAGGCTGCAGTGTTTCTGGGGATACACCTCTCTTCAAAATATTGTAGGTCTCCTGTTCATCTCATTGGAGTTCCTTAGTCAAAAGCCACACCCACAAGTCCCTTAACATAAGTACTTCTCTACCTCGGGTTCCTTCTGGTCAGGCCCTTAACCCGCCTAGAAACTATTGTTTGATTGGGAGGAACTGTGAGGTGCACCCTTAACCTCTCAGAAGAGGGGCAGGAGCGCACGCACGGGGTAAGGAGGACACAGGAAAGAGCTACCTACAGGGAGGAAGAGGGAGGAGAGCAGTTGCTTTGTGGGGAACTGCAGTCAAGGTCATGGAACGAGAAGTGTATGAACCGCTGTGTGCATAATGAATTTGCTCTGTAGACTTTCCCCCGAATCACACCCATCCACAAAAGAGCCCTGAATCTGACTGAAGGTACTCTAAGGCACCCCTTTTGCTTGTTCTGAGAATTGAAGGCTTTGCCGTCACATGGACCGCCTCACCTTTGGTATGAGCAGAAGTGTCCTGGCTTGGTCTTTTTTAGAAAGACATGTTTTAATTTCAGCATCATTTTGCGTCTGAAGAGACTGAGGATTTGCAAAATCATCAAGGTCCTGTCCTTCCTTTTGGAAAGACCCTCCTTTTGCTCAGCGCTCACCTTCTCATTCTACTGTAAGGAGCGAGAAAAAAACCGAAAGGAGGAGACCTGCATGGATCTTCAGGAGTTCTGGATCTCCGTCCCGACGGAGGTTGCGTCATGAATATATATGTCCTGCAAGAATATGCAAAAACTTATCGATATTGTGTGACTGTGTGAAAGTCACCAATGTGTAGACTGAAGACTTAGGCACTTTGTCACAGTCACGTTACACCTTCACTTATTTTAAGGATTCTGGTTTAGGAGGCTTTAGCGTGAGCGCATGCGTGCAGACGTCTCGGCGTGGTGTCCGTGGACGCGGGCAGCCGCAGACCCAGAAAAGAACCGGGCGCGCGCGTAAGCGTGTGAGCGCCAGGCACCGGAAGCAGGGCGGGCGCGCATGCGTGAAAGTCAGCGCTTGTGCGCCGGGCCGGAAGCGGAACTGCGCGAGCGCCGGCTGGGCGGCCATGGAGGGTTACCTGGAGCGGTGCGAGCCGCTGGGCGAGAGCTTGGAGGAGGAGCCCGAGCCTCCGGGCGCCGCGTCGAGCGGGGACAGCGGTCACGTGTCTCAGAGCCACAGCAGCACCTCGGGGCCGTGGGAAGACGAGGGCCCGGAGGACTGCGCGCCCGGCCGCGACCTGCCGCTGCTGCGCCGCGCGGCCGCCGGCTACGCCGCCCGCCTGCTGCCCGCGGCCCGGCCCGACGTGGAGGCCCTGGACGCGGGCCTGGAGGCCTTGCTGGCGCGCGTGGATGAGTTCGTGGGCATGCTGGACATGATTCGCGGCGACTCCTCGCACGTGGTGAGCGAGGGCGTGCCGCGCATCCACGCCAAGGCCGTGGCCATGCGGCGCGTGTACGGCAGGATCGACCGGCTGGAGGCCTTCGTGAGGATGGTGGGTGGCAGCGTGGCCCGCATGGAGGAGCAGGTGGCGCGGGCCGAGGCCGCCCTGGGCGCGTTCCCCAGCACGCTGAGGAAGCTTCTGCACACCATCAGCGTGCCCTCCCTGTTCGCCAGGGCGTCGTCCCCCAGGCAGCAGCCCGGCGGGTTTGAGCCGCCCGTGCTGTTCCGGACCGAGGACCACTTCCCTTGTTGCAGCGAGAGGCCGCAGATCTGAGTGTGCGTCGGTCGCCCGGAGAGCCCAGTGCATGGGACGCCGATCCCGAAGCCCAGTGGATGCACCAACACGCCATCGGAACGTGGGGGTTTTATGTGCACGTTCTGCAAACGCAGTATCTCAGGGTCGTCGTGATCCCACCGAGAACGTGCGATCTACTCCCTCTTCCAGTTCTGTCCTGTTTGCAGGGACTCCCTCTTCCAGTTCTGTCCTGTTTGCAGGGAGGTCCAGGAAGCAAAATGAGGGACCCCTGCCAGAATCATCATTTTTATGGATTTTACAACTCAGCGAACAGTATTACCTTTTCAAGATACATATTTGCATAATCTGAAGACTGCTGAATCATCAAAGCCTTGTTATTAGTCGATTCTAATAGTTACTTTTCTATAGCTTACTTTTAGACAGATGAGAAATTATTTAATGTTGTACTAAATATTCATGTCTTGGATTGTAAACAAGGAAATTAGACAATTTCTGAGAAAAGATTGATTGCAACTAATTCTGCAGTTGTGTTCGAAAGTGTAGCCTCACAATCTCAGTTTGTACATAGCAAACATGTCTATATGTGCTTGCCAATGTTTGGTCTATAATATTAATAAAAATGTAAAATTTTGCTGGAAAAGCTTTTGTTCTGAAAAGGAGGCTACACATTCCTTATTTTGTTTGAAGATAGGCATCTTGCACACGATTTTAGGAGTGGGAAAAGTAGAGTAGTTTGGGGTGACCTTGTTTGGAAGGTCAGTGGGAACAAGTAACCTGAGCAGCTTCTTCACAGCAGTTGGCCATGCCACCGACTGGTAGTGTGCGTGGTTCTTTTTTCACCCTGGCTTACAGATCTCTCAGATATAACATGCTTTCATTTAGGTTTTAGTCTGTTTGCTGAGGTGGCCCTCCTAGACGGCAGACTCCAAATAAGCATACAGTTTAGATGTTTCTTTGCATCATTATCATAGATCTTCACGGTTGATAGAATTTGTTCTCATTTCAGCTATTTTTGAAAGACCTGTTCATATAATCCACACTTTAGTGTTTATAGGCCATCTCAGACACACACTTAACAGAGCTGCATATGAAGTTTCTTCCATACATAGCATCTACATTACTAAAGTGGCTTTTTAATTTGTGGCGATATTACGTATAAATACTTATTGGTAGGTGCTGTCGAGTTGGTCCGACTCATACCGACCCTTTGTACAACAGAACAAAATTCTGCCTGGTCCTGCACCATCCTCACGGTCATTGTTGTGAGCTCATTGTTGCAGCCACTGTGTTGATCCATCTGGTTGAGGATCTTTTTTTTTTTTTTTTTTTGCTGACCCTACACTTTACGAAGTGTGATACCTTTTCCAGGGACTGGCCACTCCTGATAACATGATCAAATAGGAGAGG